GTTCTCTGGTGTGTGTGTTCTGGTGTGTGTGCTCTGGTGTGTGTGCTCTGGTGTGTGCTCTCTGGTGTGTGTTCCCTGGTGTGTGTGCTCTGGTGTGTGTTCCCTGGTGTGTGTTCTCTGGTGTGTGTGCTCTGGTGTGTGTGCTCTGGTGTGTGTTCTCTGGTGTGTGTTCTCTGGTGTGTGTGCTCTGGTGTGTGTTCCCTGGTGTGTGTGCTCTGGTGTGTGTTCCCTGGTGTGTGCTCTGGTGTGTGTTCTCTGGTGTGTGTTCTCTCTGGTGTGTGTGCCCTGGTGTGTGCTCTGGTGTGTGTGCTCTGGTGTGTGTGCTCTGGTGTGTGTTCTCTGGTGTGTGTGCTCTGGTGTGTGTTCCCTGGTGTGTGCTCTGGTGTGTGTTCTCTGGTGTGTGTTCTCTGGTGTGTGTGCTCTGGTGTGTGTTCCCTGGTGTGTGTGCTCTGGTGTGTGTTCCCTGGTGTGTGCTCTGGTGTGTGTTCTCTGGTGTGTGTTCTCTGGTGTGTGTGCTCTGGTGTGTGTTCTCTGGTGTGTGTGCTCTGGTGTGTGTGCTCTGGTGTGTGTTCTCTGATGTGTGTTCTCTGGTGTGTGTTCTCTGGTGTGTGCTCTGGTGTGTGTTCTCTGGTGTGTGTTCTCTGGTGTGTGTGCCCTGGTGTGTTCTCTGGTGTGTGTGCTCTGGTGTGTGTTCCCTGGTGTGTGTGCTCTGGTGTGTGTGCTCTGGTGTGTGTTCCCTGGTGTGTGTTCTCTGGTGTGTGTTCTCTGGTGTGTGTTCTCTGGTGTGTGTGCTCTGGTGTGTGTTCCCTGGTGTGTGCTCTGGTGTGTGTTCTCTGGTGTGTGTTCTCTGGTGTGTGTTCTCTGATGTGTGTTCTCTGGTGTGTGTTCTCTGGTGTGTGTTCTCTGGTGTGTGCTCTGGTGTGTGTGCTCTGGTGTGTGTTCTCTGGTGTGTGTTCTCTGGTGTGTGTGCTCTGGTGTGTGTTCTCTGGTGTGTGTTCTCTGGTGTGTGTTCTCTGGTGTGTGTGCTCTGGTGTGTGCTCTGGTGTGTGTGCTCTGGTGTGTGTTCTCTGGTGTGTGCTCTGGTGTGTGTTCTCTGGTGTGTGTTCTCTGGTGTGTGTTCTATGGTATGTGTTCCCTGGTGTGTGTTCTCTGGTGTGTCTTCTCTGGTGTGTGTGCTCTGGTATGTGTTCCCTGGTGTGTGTTCTCTGGTGTGTGTGCTCTGGTGTGTGTTCTCTGGTGTGTGTTCTCTGGTGTGTGTTCCCTGGTGTGTGTTCCCTGGTGTGTGTGCTCTGGTGTGTGTTCTCTGGTGTGTGTTCTCTGGTGTGTGTTCTCTGGTGTGTGTTCCCTGGTGTGTGTTCCCTGGTGTGTGTTCTCTGGTGTGTGTTCTCTGGTGTGTGTTCTCTGGTGTGTGTTCTCTGGTGTGTGTTCTCTGGTGTGTGTTCTCTGGTGTGTGTTCTCTGGTGTGTGTGTTCTCTGGTGTGTGTTCTCTGGTGTGTATTCTCTGGTGTGTGTTCTCTCGTACCTGTCCCTGTGCTCTCGTACCTGTCCCTGTGCTCTCATACCTGTCCCTGTGCTCTCGTACCTGTCCCTGTGCTCTCGTACCGTGTCCCTGTGCTCTCGTACCTGTCCCTGTGCTCCCGTACCTGTCCCTGTGCTCCCGTACCTGTCCCTGTGCTGTCTTCATACACCACAGTCACCGTCCTCCAGTGGAAGAGGACGGTCATCTCTTGTGTCTGCTCCCTGGTATGTCGTTGCTGGTGTTGTCCCTGTGCTCTCGTACCTGTCCCTGTGCTCTTGTACCTGTCCCTGTGCTCTCGTACCTGTCCCTGTGCTCTTGTACCTGACCCTGTGCTCTCGTACCGGTCCCTGTGCTCTCGTACTTGTCCCTGTGCTCTCGTACCTGTCCCTGTGCTCTCGTACCTGTCCCTGTGCTCCCGTACCTGTCCCTGTGCTCCCGTACCGGTCCCTGTGCTCTCATACCGGTCCCTGTGCTCTCGTACCTGTCCCTGTGCTCTCGTACCTGTCCCTGTGCTCTCGTACCTGTCCCTGTGCTGTCGTCCCTGTGCTCTCGTACCGGTCCCTGTGCTCCCTTACCTGTCCCTGTGCTCTCGTACCTGTCCCTGTGCTCTCGTACCGGTCCCTGTGCTCCCGTACCGGTCCCTGTCCTCTCGTACTTGTCCCTGTGCTCTCGTACCTGTCCCTGTGCTCTCGTACCTGTCCCTGTGCTCTCGTACCTGTCCCTGTGCTCTCGTACCTGTCCCTGTGCTGTCGTCCCTGTGCTCCCGTACCTGTCCCTGTGCTCTCGTACCGGTCCCTGTGCTCCCGTACCGGTCCCTGTGCTCTCGTACCTGTCCCTGTGCTGTTGTCCCTCTGCTGTCGTACCGGTCCCTGTACTCCCGTACCTGTCCCTGTGCTCTCATACCTGTCCCTGTGCTCCCGTACCGGTCCCTGCGCTCCCGTACCTGTCCCTGTGCTCCCGTACCTGTCCCTGTGCTCCCGTACCTGTCCCTGTGCTCCCGTACCTGTCCCTGTGCTCCCGTACCTGTCCCTGTGCTGTCTTTATACACCACAGTCACCGTCCTCCAGTGGAAGAGGACGGTCCCTGGTATGTCGTCGCTGGTGTTGTCCCTGTGCTGTCGTCCCTGTGCTCCCGTACCGGTCCCTGTGCTCCCGTACCTGTCCCTGTGCTCTCGTACCGGTCCCTGTGCTCTCTTACCTGTCTCTGTGCTCCCGTACCTGTCCCTGTGCTGTCGTACCGGTCCCTGTGCTCCCGTACCTGTCCCTGTGCTCCCGTACCTGTCCCTGTGCTCCCGTACCTGTCCCTGTGCTGTCGTACCGGTCCCTGTGCTCCCGTACCGGTCCCTGTGCTCCCGTACCGGTGCCTGTGCCCCCGTACCTGTCCCTGTGCTCCCGTACCTGTCCCTGTGCTCCCGTACCTGTCCCTGTGCTCCCGTACCTGTCCCTGTGCTCCCGTACCTGTCCCTGTGCTGTCTTCATACACCACAGTCACCGTCCTCCAGTGGAAGAGGACGGTCATCTCTTGTGTCTGCTCCCTGGTATGTCGTTGCTGGTGTTGTCCCTGCGCTCCCGTACCTGTCCCTGTGCTGTCGTCCCTGTGCTCCCGTACCTGTCCCTGTGCTGTCGTCGTAGACCACGGTCACGGTCCTCCAGTGGAAGGAGTGCACTAGGTCGAGGATGGCGCGGGAGAGCGAGGAGAAGTCGGGGAACAGGCTGATGTGGAAGGAGTCGCGGTTGTCTGAGACCTGGTGCTTCCAGCGCGTCTGGACGTGAGGGACGCCCAGAGCGTTACAGATCGACTGCACCGCGTTCGCCGAGGCGCTGTGGGAGGGGCCAAAGATGGACGCCACGCCCAGAGACAGCTGGTCACAGGCTGCAGGGACACAGAGGGAGACAAAGGGTTAGAGGGACAGAGGGACAGAGGGAGACACAGAGAGACAGAGAGACACACAGAAAGAGAGAGAGAGAGAGACAGAGAGAGAGAGAGAGGGAGAGACAGAGAGACAGAGAGAGAGACAGAGAGAGACACAGAGAGACAGAGAGAGAGAGAGAGAGAGAGACACAGAGAGACACAGAGAGAGACACAGAGAGAGAGAGAGAGAAACAGAGAGACACAGAGAGAGAGAGAGAGAGAGACACACAGAGAGACACAGAGAGAGACACAGAGAGAGAGAGAGAGAGAGACAGAGACACAGAGAGAGACAGAGAGAGACAGAGAGAGAGAGAGAGAGAGAGACAGAGAGAAAGAGAGACACACAGAGAGAGACACAGAGAGAGAGAGAGACAGAGAGAGAGACACAGAGAGACAGAGAGACAGAGAGACAGAGAGAGAGACACAAAGAGAGAGAGAGAGAGAGAGAGACAGAGAGACAGAGAGACAGAGAGAGACACAGAGAGAGAGACACAGAGAGACACACACAGAGAGAGAGAGAGACACAGAGAGAGACACAGACACACAGAGAGAGACACAGAGAGAGAGACAGAGAGAGAGACAGAGAGACACAGAGAGACAGAGAGAGAGAGAGAGACACAGAGAGAGAGAGAGACACAGAGAGAGAGAGAGACACAGAGAGAGAGACAGAGAGAGAGACACAGAGAGACACAGAGAGAGACACAGAGAGAGACACAGAGACACACAGAGACACAGAGACACACAGAGACACAGAGAGAGAGAGACACAGAGAGACACAGAGACAGAGAGACACACAGAGACACAGAGAGAGAGACACACAGAGAGACACACAGAGAGACACAGAGACAGAGAGACACACAGAGACACAGAGAGAGAGAGACTAACAGAGACACAGAGAGAGAGAGACACAGAGAGACACAGACACACAGAGACACAGAGACACAGAGAGAGACACAGAGAGACACACAGAGAGACAGAGAGAGAGAGACACAGAGAGACACAGAGACACAGAGAGAGACAGAGACACAGAGAGAGACACAGAGAGACAGAGAGACACACAGAGACACAGAGACACAGAGAGACACAGAGACACAGAGACAGAGAGACACAGAGAGAGACAGAGAGACACAGAGAGACAGAGAGAGACACAGAGACACACAGAGACACAGAGAGACAGAGAGAGACAGAGAGACACAGAGAGACAGAGACACAGAGACACACAGAGACACAGAGATACAGAGACACAGAGAGACAGAGAAAGACACAGAGACACAGAGAGACACAGAGAGACAGAGAGACACACAGAGACACAGAGACACAGAGAGACACAGAGACACAGAGACAGAGAGACACAGAGAGACACAGAGACAGAGAGGGACCTGACTAAAAGCCGCAGCCTTCAAAATGCAGGAAAAAAGCAGCGGCTTTGAGTCCGAAAAAACCGATACAGACAGAAGTCTCAAAGGTCTGAAGGACAGAGAGGATCCAGGACATTCATGGACATTAGTCTCTGCTACTTTTGGACCAATGTCTCTGTTTATTATCATTGTATTCCCTGAGTCTGAACAGTCTGATTCTCTAATCTGTGTCGGTGAATCGACTCTGGCGTCGCCCTGATTCTCTAATCTGTGTCGGTGAATCGACTCTGGCGTCGCCCTGATTCTCTAATCTGTGTCGGTGAATCGACTCTGGCGTCGCCCTGATTCTCTAATCTGTGTCGGTGAATCGACTCTGGCGTCGCCCTGATTCTCTAATCTGTGTCGGTGAATTGACTCTGGCGTCGCCCTGATTCTCTAATCTGTGTCGGTGAATCGACTCTGGCGTCGCCCTGATTCTCTAATCTGTGTCGGTGAATCGACTCTGGCGTCGCCCTGATTCTCTAATCTGTGTCGGTGAATCGACTCTGGCGTCGCCCTGATTCTCTAATCTCTGTCGGTGAATCAACTCTGGCGTCGCCCTGATTCTCTAATCTGTGTCGTTGAATCGACTCTGGCGTCGCCCTGATTCTCTAATCTGTGTCGGTGAATCGACTCTGGCGTCGCCCTGATTCTCTAATCTGTGTCAGTGAATCGACTCTGGCGTCGCCCTGATTCTCTAATCTGTGTCGGTGAATCGACTCTGGCGTCGCCCTGATTCTCTAATCTGTGTCGGTGAATCGACTCTGGCGTCGCCCTGATTCTCTAATCTGTGTCGGTGAATCGACTCTGGCGTCGCCCTGATTCTCTAATCTGTGTCGGTGAATCGACTCTGGCGTCGCCCTGATTCTCTAATCTGTGTCGGTGAATTGACTCTGGCGTCGCCCTGATTCTCTAATCTGTGTCGGTGAATCGACTCTGGCGTCGCCCTGATTCTCTAATCTGTGTCGGTGAATCGACTCTGGCGTCGCCCTGATTCTCTAATCTGTGTCGGTGAATCGACTCTGGCGTCGCCCTGATTCTCTAATCTCTGTCGGTGAATCGACTCTGGCGTCGCCCTGATTCTCTAATCTGTGTCGTTGAATCGACTCTGGCGTCGCCCTGATTCTCTAATCTGTGTCGGTGAATCGACTCTGGCGTCGCCCTGATTCTCTAATCTGTGTCAGTGAATCGACTCTGGCGTCGCCCTGATTCTTTAATCTGTGTCGGTGAATCGACTCTGGCGTCGCCCTGATTCTCTAATCTGTGTCGGTGAATCGACTCTGGCGTCGCCCTGATTCTCTAATCTGTGTCGGTGAATCGACTCTGGCGTCGCCCTGATTCTCTAATCTGTGTCGGTGAATCGACTCTGGCGTCGCCCTGATTCTCTAATCTGTGTCGGCGAATCGACTCTGGCGTCGCCCTGATTCTCTAATCTGTGTCGGTGAATCGACTCTGGCGTCGCCCTGATTCTCTAATCTGTGTCGGTGAATCGACTCTGGCGTCGCCGTGGATTACCTTGGACCTCACCTTTCCTGGACGCCTCGAAGCTGTCGAAGACGTTGATCCTCTGGATGTCGTAGGTCAGCGTGGTGTTGGGCAGCAGCGTGCGGTTACGGTTAATGGTGTTCAGGGCAAACTTAAAGGCCAGCTCCTCCGCCCCCGACGGACCGCTCTCCGTGGCCTCGAAGATCCCACCTGAGGACCACAGAGGACCACAGGATGAGGACCACAGAGGACCATAGAGGACCACAGAGGACCACAGAGGACCACAGGATGAGGACCACAGAGGACCACAGGATGAGGACCACAGAGGACCACAGAGGACCACAGAGGACCATAGAGGACCAGAGGGATGAGGACCACAGAGGACCACAGGATGAGGACCACAGAGGAACAGAGAGGACCAGAGGGATGAGGACCACAGAGGACCAGAGGGATGTGACCACAGAGGACCACAGGATGAGGACCACAGAGGACCACAGAGGACCACAGAGGACCATAGAGGACCACAGAGGACCATAGAGGACCACAGGATAAGGACCACAGAGGAACAGAGAGGACCAGAGGGATGAGGACCACAGAGAACCACAGGATGAGGACCACAGAGGAACAGAGAGGACCACAGAGGACCACAGAGGAACAGAGAGGACCACAGGATGAGGACCACAGGATGAGGACCACAGAGGACCACAGAGGACCACAGAGGACCACAGAGGACCACAGAGGACCATAGAGGACCACAGAGGACTATAGAGGACCACAGGATGAGGACCACAGAGGAACAGAGAGGACCACAGAGGACCACAGGGATGAGGACCACAGAGGACCACAGAGGACCACAGGATGAGGACCACAGAGGACCATAGAGGACCACAGAGGACCACAGAGGATCACAGGATGAGGACCACAGAGGACCATAGAGGACCACAGAGGACCACAGAGGACCACAGGATGAGGACCACAGAGGACCACAGGATGAGGACCACAGAGGACCATAGAGGACCACAGAGGACCACAGAGGACCACAGAGGACCACAGAGGACCATAGAGGACCACAGAGGACCACAGAGGACCATAGAGGACCACAGAGGACCACAGAGGACCATAGAGGACGACAGAGGACCACAGAGGACCATAGAGGACCACAAAGGACCACAGAGGACCACAGGATGAGGACCACATGTGACTGTCACATGACCATCCACCGTCACCAGTAGAAAGGCGTCGTTGGTTTGTATGGCAGACAACTTAATAGAGAGAAAAACGACACGGCCTTTTTCTGATTTTAACATTTCACAGAAATAAAATTAACATATTTACTTTCACGAGTAAAACTATTTATAGATAAGAACCGGGTTACAACATCTATGAACCGGAGGACTGGACCAGACTCTAAAGTCTCTAAACACAGCTCTAAAGTCTCTCTTTCTCTGGTCTCTCTCTGGTCTCTCTCTGTTGTCTCTCTCTGGTCTCTCTCTCTGGTCTCTCTCTGGTCTCTCTCTGGTCTCTCTCTGGTCTCTCTCTTGTCTCTCTCTGGTCTCTCTCTGGTCTCTCTCTGGTCTCTCTCTGTTGTCTCTCTCTGGTCTCTCTCTGGTCTCTCTCTGGTCTCTCTCTGTTGTCTCTCTCTGGTCTCTCTCTCTGGTCTCTCTCTGGTCTCTCTCTGGTCTCTCTCTGGTCTCTCTCTCTGGTCTCTCTCTGGTCTCTCTCTGGTCTCTCTCTGGTCTCTCTCTGGTCTCTCTCTCTGGACTCTCTCTGGTCTCTCTCTGGTCTCTCTCTGTTGTCTCTCTCTGGTCTCTCTCTCTGGTCTCTCTCTCTGGTCTCTCTCTGGTCTCTCTCTGGTCTCTCTCTGTTGTCTCTCTCTGGTCTCTCTCTGGTCTCTCTCTGGTCTCTCTCTGGTCTCTCTGTTCTCTCTCTGGTCTCTCTCTTGGTCTCTCTCTGGTCTCTCTCTCTGGTCTCTCTCTGGTCTCTCTCTGGTCTCTCTCTCTGGTCTCTCTCTGGTCTCTCTCTGGGTTCTCTCTGGTCTCTCTCTAGTCTCTCTCTGGTCTCTCTCTGGTCTCTCTCTGGTCTCTCTCTGGTCTCTCTCTGGTCTCTCTCTGGTCTCTCTCTCGGTCTCTCTGGTTTCTCTCTGGTCTCTCTCTGGTCTCTCTGGTCTCTCTCTGGTCTCTCTCTGGTCTCTCTCTGGTCTCTCTCTGGTCTCTCTCTGGTCTCTCTCTGGTCTCTCTGGTCTCTCTCTCTCTCTCTCTGGTCTGTCTCTGGTCTCTCTGGTCTCTCTCTGGTCTCTCTGGGTCTCTCTCTGGTCTCTCTCTGGTCTCTCTCTGGTCTCTCTCTGGTCTCTCTCTGGTCTCTCTCTGGTCTCTCTCTGGTCTCGCTGGTCTCTCTCTGGTCTCTTTCTGGACTCTCTGGTCTCTCTCTGGTCTCTCTCTGGTCTCTCTCTCTGGTCTCTCTCTCTGGTCTCTCTCTCTGGTCTCTCTCTGGTCTCGCTGGTCTCTCTCTGGTCTCTCTCTGGTCTTGCTGGTCTCCCTCTGGTCTCTCTCTGGTCTCTCTCTGGTCTCTCTGTTCTCTCTCTGGTCTCGCTGGTCTCTCTCTGGTCTCTCTCTGGTCTCTCTCTGGTCTCTCTCTGGTCTCTCTCTGGTCTCGCTGGTCTCTCTCTGGTCTCTCTCTGGACTCTCTGGTCTCTCTCTGGTCTCTCTGTTCTCTCTCTGGTCTCTCTCTGGTCTCTCTGGTCTCTCTCTGGTCTCTCTCTGGTCTCTCTCTGGTCTCGCTGGTCTCTCTCTGGTCTCTCTCTGGACTCTCTAGTCTCTCTCTAGTCTCTCTCTGCTCTCTCTTTAGGCTCTCTCTGGTCTCTCTCTGGTCTCTCTCTGGTCTCTCTTTAGTCTCTCTCTGGTCTCTCTCTGGTCTCTCTCTGGCCTCTCTCTGGTCTCTCTCTGGTCTCTCTCTGGTCTCTCTCTCTGGTCTCTCTCTGGTCTCTCTCTGGTCTCTCTCTGGTCTCTCTCTCTGGTCTCTCTCTCTGGTCTCTCTCTGGTCTCTCTCTGGTCTCTCTCTGGTCTCTCTGGTCTCTCTCTGGTCTCGCTGGTCTCTCTCTGATCTCTCTCTGGTCAGACATCACATCAGCAGTATATCAGTGATACAGGGTATTGAGCACAGACTAAATACAGTAAACATAGAGGGTTCTAGACCGGTTCAGACTCTGGTTCGGGCTGGGCTCAGACATAATCCTCCCGGGTCCGGACCATGCCGCGTTGAACCCTTTCGGCTCGGTCACAGTCCACACCTGCCTCACAGCGGGAAGGTCACATTGTTTTTCCGGGAACAATCCATTGCTTCTGTTTCACAACGATCGAAACATCAAAGGGGCACAAAGCACTGTTGCCATGGAGACCTGGCTGCACAAACACCTGTCCTGGTGCTAGCTCTGCAGAGAAGCTCCTCTGCTGCAGCTGTAGCATCAGTAAAGAGGCCAAAGCCAAGAGGCCCATGATCACTCTGGATGAACTGCAGATAACTACAGCTGAGGTGGGGATGGTGTGTTCAGGGTGATGAGCTGTGTTGCTTTTACGACAAACATATCGTTTTGCATTGTGGCCAAAAAGTTTGATTTTGGTTTCATCTGACCAGAGCACCTTCTTCCACATGTTTGGTGTGTCTCCCAGGTGGCTTGTGGCAAACTTTAAACAAGACTTTTTATGGATATCTTTGAGAAATGGCTTTCTTCTTGCCACTCTTCCATAAAGGCCAGATTTGTGCAGTGCACGACTGATTGTTGTCCTATGGACAGACTCTCCCACCTCAGCTGTAGTTATCTGCAGTTCATCCAGAGTGATCATGGGCCTCTTGGCTGCATCTCTGATCAGTCTTCTCCTTGTTTGAGATGAAAGTTTGGAGGGACGGCCGGGTCTTGGTAGATTTGCAGTGGTCTGATACTCCTTCCATTTCAATATAATTGCTTGCACAGTGCTCCTTGAGATGTTTAAAGCTTGGGAAATCTTTTTGTATCCAAATCCGGCTTTAAACTTCTCCACAACTGTATCTCGGACCTGCCTGGTGTGTTCCTTTGTCTTCATGGTTCTCTCTGTGCTTTAAACAGAACCCTGAGACTATCAAAGAGCAGGTGCATTTATACGGAGACTTGATTACACACAGGTGCATTCTATTTATCATCATCAGTCATTTAGGACAACATTGGATCATTCAAAGATCCTCACTGAACTTCTGGACTGAGTTTGCTGCACTGAAAGTAAAGGGGCCCAATAATATTGCACGCCCCACTTTTCAGTTTTTTATTTGTTAAAAAAGTTTAAATTATCCAATACATTTCGTTCCACTTCACGATTGTGTCCCACTTGTTGTTGATTCATGACAAAAAATTAAAATGTTATATCTTTATGTTTGAAGCCTGAAATGTGGCAAAATGTTGAAAGGTTCAAGGGGGCCGAATACTTTCACAAGGCACTGTATATTCGGGTCACTAACTGCTGAAGTTTCAAATTCTCTGTTCAGTTTTCACGAGTTCGAGAGAGTTCTAATTTTGAACGTCCAGTTATAGATAGCTAGCAGGGCTGTTACTCGCCGAGGTTGTCCTCCAGTATGGCTGCCGTGGCTGCTAGTCACGTGACCGTAGGATCCCTCTATAGTTCTGTGTTAGCATGTGTATGTATCTGTGTTAGCATGTATATAGTTCTGTGGTCCCGAAGACTGCATCTCTCTCTAAACCTTCAGACTCTTGCTTCCAGACTCCGCTGCTCCTTCTTCTCCCACAGACCTGCAGAGATGTTTGGGAGATGGAAACATAAATAATCTCCACAGAGAGCCCCGTGAATCTTCACCAAACTTACGTGCGTTCACTTCCTGTGCGTCCTCGCGGCGTCAGGAGGAGGACAGTTTATTCGGTTGCACAGAGCGGCTGCAGGCGTGTAATGAAGGTTCCACATTTGTAGTCATTGTCTGAAACAGCCGCGGCTCATTGTCATTCCGCACACGCTCCGAGCCGCCGCCTGCAGCTCTCCTGCTTTTCTGCGGCTCCCGGTGGAAAGTCGGGGTCACGGGAGCGAGAGGAGGTTCGGGTTGCAAAGGACGCTTAAATAGGAGGCTGCATATAGATCCAGCTGACCTTTAACCTTTAGGACGCTGTAGTGGAACTGAATATATGCTTTTAGGCCCAGTGGTGATGGATCTGTAGACCAGTTCAGACCAGTTCAGACCAGTACAGACCAGTTCAGACCAGTTCAGACCAGTAGAGACCAGTAGAGACCAGTAGAGACCAGTACAGACCAGTAGAGACCAGTACAGACCAGTAGAGACCAGAACAGACCAGTACAGTAGACCAGTACAGACCACTACAGACCAGTACAGACCAGTAGAGACCAGTGCAGACCAGTACAGACCAGTAGAGACCAGAACAGACCAGTACAGTAGACCAGTAGAGACCAGAACAGATCAGTACAGACCAGTAGAGACCAAAACAGACCAGTAGAGACGAAAACAGACCAGTAGAGACCAAAACAGACCAGTAGAGACCAGTACAGACCAGTACAGTAGACCAGTACAGCGGATCAGTACAATAGACCAGTAGAGACCAGTACAGACCAGTACAAACCAGTACAGACCAGTAGAGACCAGAACAGACCAGTACAGTAGATCAGTAGAGACCAGAACAGACCAGTACAGACCAGTAGAGACCAATACAGACCAGTACAGACCAGTACAGTAGACCAGTAGACTTTGGTAGAGTCATGTAGACTTTGGTAGAGTGATGTAGACTTTGGTAGAGTGATGTAGACTTTGGTAGAGGCATGTAGACTTTGGTAGAGTCATGAAGACTTTGGTAGAGGCATGTAGACTTTGGTAGAGTCATGTAGACTTTGGTAGAGTCATGTAGACTTTGGTAGAGTCATGAAGACTTTGGTAGAGTCATGAAGACTTTGGTAGAGGCATGTAGACTTTGGTAGAGTCATGTAGACTTTGGTAGAGTCATGTAGACTTTGGTAGAGTCATGTAGACTTTGGTAGAGTCATGTAGACTTTGGTAGAGTCATGAAGACTTTGGTAGAGTCATGTAGACTTTGGTAGAGGCATGTAGACTTTGGTAGAGTCATGTAGACTTTGGTAGAGTCATGAAGACTTTGGTAGAATCATGTAGACTTTGGTAGAGGCATGTAGACTTTGGTAGAATCATGT